CGGGAGCCAGGAGCGGGCCTGGGACACGGGGACGGGGCCCGGGACAGGGCTCGGGGCACACGGAGGAGGCCGCCCAGGAGGCAGGAACAGGGCAAGAGGCAGGGGCCAGCCCCAGGACAAGGCTCAGAGCACAGGGAGGAGGCCCAGGATGGGGCCCAGGAGGCAGGAACAGGCCTGGGACAGGGCAGGAGACAGGGAGAAAGCCCGGGACAAGGCTCAGGACACACGGAGGAGGCCCAGGATGAGGCCCAGGTGACAGGAACAGGCCTGGGACAGGGCTCAAGGCGCAGGGCTCAGGCTCAGGACAATGCCCGGGAGCTGGTGCCAGGTCTGGGACATAGGGACAGGCCCAGGGACAAAGCCTGGGATGTGGTCTGGGATGCAAGGACAGGCCAAGAGGCAGGGACTAGACCCACAGCAAGGCTCAGGACACACGGAGGAGGCCCAGGATGAGGCCCAGGAGGCAGGAACAAGCCCAGGACAAGGCTCAAGGTGCAGGGCTCAGGCTCAGGACAATGTCCAGGTGGCAGTGCCAGGTCTGGGACATAGGGACAGGACCAGGAAAAGGGCCGAGAGACAGGGACAAAGCCTTGGGCGCAGGCTGGGACACAGGAACAGGGCAAGAGGCAGGGACTAGCCCCGGGATGAGGCTCAGGACACAGAGACAAGCCTCAAGACAAGGTTTAGGACACAGGGACAAGACCTAGAATGACACCCGGGTGGCAGGGACGTGACCCAGGATGGAGCCGGGGAGAAGGATGAGCTCAACAGGCAGGGCAGCGGGACTGGACACACTCAGCAGTCGCTCAGCTGCAGCATTCCTCCTCGCTTCCAGCGGTGCCCACATCAAACAGGGAGCAGTGCAGCGAGCTTTTGGGTGTTCACACAAATATCTTCCCTGAGACGGGGTCCTCAGTGAAGTCCTGTGTTAATTCTATAGCTCATTGATTTCACAAGTTTGACTCGGGGTCTGTTTGGCTTTGGGGTTGGGGTTTTTTTGTGTGTGTGTACTGCAGTGTTGAAATCCAGGCGTTTGCTCAAACCCAACTGTGCCAGGAGTTTAGTGAGTGATTTAAATAAGGTTTTAACGTACAGAATCGTGGGGAGTTGGCAGGACAGCGCTGTGCTCCCGTTTGGGACCGGGGGTGGTGGCTGTTGTGGGTAATTCTTGTGGTGAAAATCCAGAAGACACCACAGGCGATAATCTTCCCTTACATCATTTCCAAGCAAACAAAAATATCGTTCTTCCCTTATTTTGTTAGCGATGTGGATCATCAAAAAGCTGACTGGGTTAGCATCCACCAGCAAATATGCCAGCTGCTGATTCCAATCCGTACGTCCCTCCCTCCTCCCCTTACTGAAAAAGAAAGAAAACATGGCATGGAGCAGCTGGTGCAGAGGCAGGTACGTACAAGAAAAACAAATTCCACTTCAAAGTGCTGCCGGTGAAATTCTGTTAGATCTCTTCTTCCTATGCTTTGATGTACGTGGTGGTGGGAGGACACCTTGGTTGGTCGGTTGCAGAGCTTTAATTTTTTTTTTTAAACAAAAACTCTGTGGATGCCCCATCCCTGGAGGGGTCCAAGGCCAGGCTGGATGAGGCTTTGGGCAACCTGGGCTAGTGGGAGGGGTCCCTGCCCATGGCAGGGGGTGGCACTGGGTGGGCTTTAAGGTCCCTTCCCACCCAAACCAGTCTATGATTCTATGATTCTATAATAAGGGGAGTGGGAGCATCCTCCCTCCTCCCATTTTTCACAGTCCTTACTCAAGGTCCTGAGCTTCCTCAGGCAGCAGCGACCCTGGGTCTCCCCCAGTTAATCCGGGATCCAGCTGAGTTTTGCATCTTGCAGGGTGTCCTCATCCTTCGCTGATGAGAGGGATTCCCCTTTCTCAAGCAGGGGGGCAAAGAAGCAAAGTCCCCTCCCTTTGTTTACCTGGCCAATTTTAAACGCCCTTTCCCACTAACCACGGTCTTTTATCTCTGCTTTTTGGCCTCGTGGGTGGTGCAGATGTGCAGCTCCCTTCCAGCTCCAGTGGTTTTCAACTCTTTGGGTTGTTTGTTTTGTTTTTTTTTTTAATTTGTTTATGGGGTGGCAGGATCTGCTTTTCCACAATGTTGATAAAACAAAAGAACCCACCCAAATACATCTGCTGTTTCAAATGAGCTTGCCCGTAAAAATAAATTATCCTTCTTTCATTGCATAACTCCTAATCACAGAATAATGGGACAAAGGAACAGCTGAAAGTGAGCTGGTAACAATCCACCGGTGCCACTGAGAACAACATCATTAATCTGCTGGATTTTACGTCAGGTATTGTTTCGAAGGTTGTTTCTGGGCCAGGTGCTAGTACCGTGGCAGCTCGTTTGCTGCTCCTTTTTTTTTTTTTTTTTTTTTTCTTGTTAGCATCCAGAAAGAGAAAGCCTGGAAGGGGTGGAACCTGCGTAAACAAAAGCCTGGGTTGGTGAAAGGTTGTGACAGGCTTTAGGCAGCAGTTTCCTTTAGCCTTGGTAGGAATCAGACACTGACAACCCAGTTTGATTTTTTCAAATCCCATCTGTCTGGAAATCACAGGCAGAGTTGCTGCCCAACGTCTGAAGGAGGTCTGTTAGAACAGAACATCCCAGAAGCATCAGGGAAAATGCAAAAGTTCCTTTGTTCCAGATTACATTTAAGTTGATCTTTCATGAAGCCTGCAAAGAAAAGAAGTAAAAATTGATCTTCCCAGGGGTGGTGGCAGGGTTTTTTCCATCTTTACCTGCTTAAAGCTTTTCCAAGAACCTTCACCTCCCCGTCGAACGCTGATGTTGAAAGCATCTGTTGTTGCATCATTGGTTTCACGTACATCACCAAAGACCACATGACTGGCAGATCAAGGAAGCCCTCCTTGATTAGCTGGCAGCTAATCATTTGTTTTTATCAGGTTCTGGGGGGAAGGCAGCAGGAAGACGGGGCTGGTGGAGGAGGGAGAGTCACTCCTCCCGGCTGGGGCGCACGCCCGGGTTAGCAGAGGGCAGCTGCAAACCTTCACCTTGAGCCTCGCCTCGCCGTGACTCCTCGGAAAGGTCATGGGGAGCAGGCTCTGATTGGGGTTGGTTTTTTGCAGTAGAGATTTTTATAGGATTTTTAACAACCCTGTTACATTTGTTCTTTGCCCTTTGTCTCCAGACTATTTAAATAAAATACATTCTGGGAACGGTATGTGCAGGGACACTTTGTCTTCCTTCTTTCCTAAGAAAGGAGTGAAAGAGCAGAAACACCTGGGCTCTGTTTCGCCGCAAGACTGCTGCTCGCCCAGAAATGAAGCCAGCCTTTACCTGCAGAAAGGTATAGAGGCGACAATGTTTGGCCAAACTGGCTGACGAGTTAGAAGAGGGGTATGGAGAGGGAGAGAGGATTTACTTCCCCGTCTTGGTGGCTTCATCACATTCACAGAGCCAACAAAAATGCTTTGGAGCTCAAGGAAAAGTGATGTAGTCTCATGGTGAGCAGAGAAAAAAAATGTTCTGCTCCGAGCCTGCCCGTGGGTTTATTATTTTTTGGACATTTCTGCTGTACTTTGCCAGCTCCTGCATCTTGTTTGTTTAGAAAACACCCAGCTGGAGCCTCAGCCACAGGAAAGCTTGTGCCCATCAGAATGCCCGTGGCCTCGGGGAAGGTGCGCGAAGGTGAGAACCGGGAGGTGATGAGTTTCATACCTTGTCTGGAGCCCAGAGCTTTGTTGATAGAAATCTGCTTTTGTCAACACAGCCAGGGGGCTGCCTGCAGACGGTACCTCTGAGCTGACAAAACTCCAAGTTTCTGTTTGGAGAATAGCCTCACCTGCCCGCCTGATGTCAGCTCGCTGCAGCCCCTGGGTACGGGAAAAGATCCACGCCTCGGCCGGCTCCCGCGGTCCTCCGGCACTGGTGCGAGCCTCACCGGCTGCAGCTTTCAACTCCAACGGAATGGAAACCTTCCTTTTATGAATCATAATTTTTTTCAAGCATGCCATCATTTTTGGTGCCTGTGAGCGAGCGAATGGATGTGGAACCGAATCCCAAGCGTGTTCCCAACCCCCTGCTCCCACCTGGAGCAGAGCTGGGGTCCTCACAGCCTCCTCGAACCCCAACTGGGGGAAAACTGCGTGGGGGCATCTTCAGAGAAACCTCTAATTGCAACACACATGAAAAGAGCCCAAAGTGTGCAGGTCCGGGGGTGTGGGGCTACGGGTGAGATGAAAAACAGAGCGGGGCCAAAGCCAACGATCCCCCCAAGGCTTGTAAATGCGCGGTCTTAAATATTCAACGCTGCAGGGCTTCTGTTCTCTCCTGCCCTTTCTTCTCCTCCTGGGAGCTGTGCAAGGATCCAGCCCTTAGCTTGTCCTTGCTGCAGATGTTTTAGATGGTTTACATCATGGGAAGCAGCGATGATCCTATTGACAAGGAGTGAAAAAAGAATGATGCTGATCTCCAGCACCTCCCCAGGTGACAATCCACTTGGTACCCGCGCACCAAAGCTGGTGCCGGGTGTGACAGAGGATGAGCGGCATGGACAGAAAAGGCAGCCTGAGAAATAACAGCTTTTATTATAAATAAATACCAGCTTTTATTGCTTCTTGCCCTGAGCACGTGCTGATGTTCTCCTGGGCACCGCATGCTCCCCAGCACAGCTGGGTTGGGTCCGTGCCTTTGTCACTCTGTGCTGGTGGCTCAGGGGCTCGAGAAGGACCGAGCGCTGTGTTCGGCTCTTGGCTCTCCTTGCCGTAGCCTGGTGCTGTCACTCTGCGCTGTATTCTTCAACGCTCTCATTTATCCAGAAAGGATGTCCCAGGATTTCCAGGAAACACTCCTTGAGGTTCCCTGTCCCGGAGCCGTTCGTTCACCTGTGCCATGACCCTGCCTCTCTCTAAGCACCTAAAGCCCAGCAAAGTGCCAAAGCCTGGCCTCCAGAAGTGCTGGGGTTTGCTTTTTCTGCCCTCTGCTCAGCCACAGCTGTAAAACAGAAGGCAACGAGGTACAACGGTCTTTTCCGCCGGCGCTGGCTGCACAGGCCTGCCCGTGCCTCCTAGCGAGAGCAGGGCGAGCGCCGGGCTGGCTCGCCGCCGCAGGACCCCCAGCCCCAGCCGCC